TGCAAGAGCCTGGAGCTGTGTCGGGCACAGGGGAAATGGCCAGTTTTGTTAGGGACGGGACAAGTGTGAGGACATTCCCACTTCCGCTAGCCTTCCTCACAGGGCAATGTTCAGGCCACGCGGCTGAGCCGTGTGTGACGGTCCCTGCCCCATCTAAACAGACAGACCCAGGGCCAGGGGAGGGTTGCTGGCCCCCGGGTCACATTGGGGAGCAGTGACACAGAGAGATGCCCTCATTCGCTGCCCGCTGTTGTGAGGGTGGGGAGCCCAGGGGGGTGTGCAGGGAGCCTGGGCTGGCTCTGGCTCTGGCAGGCGAAGGATGGCTCCGAACAGCTGCCACCAGTGACTCAAAGAGCCGCTCGCCAGCCCGAGGGAGAGGGGGTGAGTCTGGGCGCATGGGGTGGGGGGGCAGAGCTGAAGGCAGGGACAGGTGGCAGAGCTGTGTGGGCGCGACAAAGCCGGAATCAGGAGCTGTCTTTGTTTATTTCCTGCCGTTCCCTGTGGATTCTCATCCCTCCACTCAGGGCCTCCGTCCTTCCAGCCAGGGGGCCCTGGGGCTGGCCCCTCTGGAGGGCCGCGCTGCTGCTATGTGCCCTGGCCAGAGGGGGCGCTCCCTCCCCTGGAATCAGAGCACATTGCCTCCAGTACACCCCAAGAGCGAGGGGCTGAGTGCCAGGAGTGAGCCCTCTGCCTCCCCTCCATACCCATCCCTGGCCAGCCAGGGGAGCAGGGCACGGCTGGAGTCCTCCCCTGGAAGGTCGCTCTGGTGCTGGGCTTGCCCACTGGCAGCAGGGGCTCCCTGTGGAGTTCCCCACCCCCATGGGTGGCTTTGGCCCATTCCTGGACGAGGCAGCAGGATGGGCCACAGCATGGGCAGGAGCCAATGGTTTGAGGAGGGGTGTAGCTGGCTGGCTGCCTAGCCCCTGCTGTCCCACGAGCCAGAGCCCACCACAGCCATTGCCACCTCCCTGGGGTTCACAGCAGCAGGGCTGGCTCATGACTAATGGTGCCCCAGGTGAGGAGCATCTTCGGCACCCCCCTTCCATTTGTTAAACTTCTGAAAACCTTATTTTTTATTGCATTTGTAGCCCATTTCCTGACTTTGATGCACCATTTGCAAGCATGATTTACCCGTCATATAAGATGATAGATTTGCACGCTAGGATCTGTAAAGCTGCATTCATTCACGCCACATGTAAGCAAATAAAAAAATCGTTTCCTCTAAGCTTATTGAAACTTTTACATTTTCAGAATAACTGAAATGTACAGTAGAACCTCAGAGTTACGAACTGACCAGTCAACCCCACACCTCGTTTGGAACCGGAAGTACGCAATCAGGCACCCGCAGAGGACCCCCTCACCCCGCCAAAAAAAGTTAATACAGTACAAGGCTGCGTTAAATGTAAAAAAACAGGAAAAGCAGCATTTTGATTCTGCCTAGTAAAGTTTCAAAGAGTCAATGTTCAGTTGTAAACTTTTGAAAGAGCCACCCTAATGGTTTGTTCAGAGTTACAAACAACCTCCGTTCCCGAGGTGTTCACAACTCTGAGGATCTGGTGTCCAAACATCAAAACACTGGCCTGTGCACCAGCCCTGGGGGGCCAAGTAGTAACTAGGGTTACAGTAGGCGACAGCGTTAGCGTGTTAATCCTAGTCCTTTAGTGCAAAAGACGTAATAGTATTTCTTCAACATTATTGCACAGATAGGGGTTCAATCGATATCTCTGGCGTCTCATTAAATATGTCCTTTATTAGTCACTACTTATGCTCGTCAAGTCTTAAACCACACGTACACTTTCACAATTACACACTAAAACAAGGTTCACAGTATCGCAGCTGGGATCTCGCGTCACTTCAGTCCGTTCTTATATCTCACTGCCTGACTGGCGCCGCCCTGCCCCTTATGTACCCGCGAGGGCACGGCTGACCGCATTCTAGGAGGTGTGATGAAGTGGGGGGGTTTCTTGTTATTTCAGTGGTTTGCATGCAGAGGGTGTGGGACTGAGTTTCCCTGGGTGTTACTAGTTTAACGAGGTGGTGGGAGAGGGAGTTTGGTGTCAGAGAAGGCCAGTGGTGACACTTGGGACCCTGGACAATGGCCTGGAGAATGGATACCCCAGCGACTGGTGACCGGGAGGCCCCAGCTTGGAGTCAGAGCTGGTTCGGGTCAGTGGGGAACAAAGGACGGATGAGAGAAGAGGCTGAGGAAGAGGAGGTCCAGGCGACCTGTTTACCTGGGACAGAAGACAAAGAACAGAGGGGGAGCTTGGGCGATGGTGATATCAGATGCCCAGCTGGAAGGGGGGGGCTCTCTAGACTGGGGAGAGGGAGCAGCCACAGCCCACCTGGAGGCTGGAGAGACCTAGATGTGCTGTGCTGTGGGAGGCCAGGCCTGAGAGCCCGGAGAGTTTCCGGTGCTGTGTTCAGACGCTCAATAACCCCTCCTGTTTTATGCTGGTGGAGAGTTGCTCCAGTCCAGAGATGAGGGTGGCTTTATCCCCTCTGGGCGTGGAGGCCCTGGGGTGTGTGTCCAGAGCGAGGGGACTCCCTGAGGGGGCCCACGGCAGAGACAGGCATGCTGAGGCTCAGAGAGGGGCAGTTCCAGGAGGCGGAGGGGCTTACGGCTGAACCCCCGAGAGCGAGTGGCTCCCTGAGAAGGGCTGTCACACTGAAGGGGGCTCCCCCCAGAGGCCGTAGGGAGCCGAGAGAGGACACAAGTCCTGGGGGTCCATGACAGAGGGTGAAGGAAAATGTCGTTCTCAGAAAGGCTGGAAGGCTCGATGAGATTCTTCAAAGGTCCAGACCATGCTGGGAGATGAGTGAAGAATGAACCCAGCGATGCAACGTTACCGTGAATGTTCCAGTTTCCCTTTTGTCGCTAACAGCCATCCCCAGCCCGGCTCCCCCCAAGCCCAGCACCCCAGCCAGCCGCCTGGGCCACCTGCCCCTAAACCCGGCCGCAGGGAGGAGCAGGGACTGGTCACTGGCAGGGCGTGGCGTGGAAATGGCCCGGGAGCGAGCAGCATTGCCCCCTGCTGGCAGGAACAGGCCAGGCCCCACCGCCAGGCAGGAATGTGACAGCTGTTGCTGGACTGCGTGCTGTGACCCCACGCTCGATGTGAGGTATGTGGGAGGAATCTCGCAGGGAGCGAGCCAAATGCCACATGCAGCAGCCAGCAACCTCCCAGCCAGCTCCACTCCGGGAACAGCGGGCAGCAGCAGGCCTGGTGAGCCAAGTCACCTGCTCCAGCAGCTCCAGCCCCTAGCCCTGCCAGAGGGGAGAATCGCTGCTGGCAGTACAGAGCCTATGACACAGAGCTGACCCTCCGCGCCCATGAGCAGCCCTGCGCGGATGCGCACACCCACACACCACACCCACACTAGCCAGCGCCTGTAGCTCTCCTGGGGCACAGTCCCTACATGAACGCCACACACATCCACGCTGAGCATGGCTGGGCTGCGGCTCCCCCGTGGGGCATGGGAAGGGCTGGTGCCCCCGAGGGAAGCGGGCGGCGCTGAGTTCTGGGCCTGATGCCACCGTCCGTGATGCCACGGCTACACATGCACCCTGGGCACACTCCCCTCACCCACCATTGCACACTGGGCACACTCACCCCCACCCTCACCTGGCATTGCACACTGGGCACATTCCCTTCAGCTGCCATTGCACATTGGGCATGTTCACCCCCACCTGCCATTGCATGCTGGACACACTCTGTTCAACTGCCATTGTACACTAGGCACACTCAGCCCCCCACCATTGCACCCTGGGCGTGCTCACCCCTACCCCCCCCGCCATTGCACACTGGGCATGCTCCCCCAACTGCCATTGTACACTGGGCACACTCAGCCCCCCACCATTGCACCCTGGGTGTGCTCACCCCTACCCCCCCGCCATTGCACACTGGGCATGCTCCCCCAACTGCCATTGTACACTGGGCACACTCAGCCCCCCACCATTGCACCCTGGGTGTGCTCACCCCTACCCCCCCCTGCCATTGCACCCTGGGCGTGCTCACCCCTACCCCCCCTGCCATTGCACACTGGGCATGCTCCCCCAACTGCCATTGTACACTGGGCACACTCAGCCCCCCACCATTGCACCCTGGGTGTGCTCACCCCTACCCCCCCTGCCATTGCACACTGGGCATGCTCACTCACTCCCCGCTCCCCCTGACCCACGCTGGGTTTTATTCATACCCACGCATGCTCCCTACAGCTCACGAGCTGGAACTGAATGAGTCTGAGCACTAACACTCACCTGGCCAGTGTCCCTCACGCACCCATTTCCCCAGGGCAGTGCCCCTCCCTCTCCCCATGCCCAGGGCAGTGCCCCTTGTGTGCTGAACACAGACAGCAGAAGCCCCATTCTCAGCCAGCTGTCCAAGCAGAGGGGACCCCTCCCTGCGTTGCTCTGAGCCTCACGCCCTGTCAGCCCAGGCTGTCTCAGGTCCTACCCCTCCGGGCAGGGCCACCCTTCCCTTTGCCTGCTCTCCAGAATGCCGAGTCGCTGCACAGGTGCTGGGACCATCTGTCCTCTCGCAGGGCATTGGAAAGTGTCCAAGGTAGGCGCGGTGGCACCAGCCGCACACTGAGCCAGCAAAGGCAGACGCTCTGCTGCACAGGCCTGCAGGGGAGGAGGACGCTATTGCTCCAGCCCGGGCCCCCTCCACACCAAGGGGTTTCATTGCCCTGTCCCTGCAGGCAGATCGACCAGCTCCCGCTGCCATTTACTGTCACGGAGTTCCTGGGCGATGCTCTGGAACTGCTCCCCATGAAGCCAGTCAGGACTCTGGGGCAGTCGCCTTTCTGTGAGCAGCCTGTCTTCAGGACACACAGCTCACACAGCTTCCACCTTCCTGGGTCTGACCTCGGAGCATTCAGCCTCCTCTGCCTCTCCGTGCGCTTCCCACAGCGAGTCCGCTCAGGCGGTGCTCCTGGGGAAGCCAGAGGGTCCTGCACCCCAACTTCGCAGTCAGACGTGACTCTCAGCCAGCCAGTAAAACAGAAGGTTTATTAGACGACAGGAACATGGTCTAAAACAGAGCTTGCAGGTGCAGAGAACGGGACCCCTCAGCTGGGTCCATTCTGGGGGGCAGTGAGCCAGACAACCACGTCTGCACTTCACTCCATGTCCCAGCCAGCCCCAAACTGAAAAACCCCTCCAGCCCCTCCTCCTCTGGGCTTTGTTCCTTTCCCGGGCCAGGAGGTCACCTGATTCCTTTGTTCTCCAACCCTTCAGCTCTCACCTTGCAGGGGGGGAAGGGCCCAGGCCATCAGTTGCCAGGAAACAGGGTGTCGGCCATTCTCTGTGTCCAGATCCCTGCACACACCTGCCCTCTAGGGCACTGCAATGATCATACACCCTTACCCCACCACCTAGATACTTAAGAACTGCCTAGGGGAAACTGAGGCACCCCCACACTATTCAGAGGAAACATTAAGAACAGTCCCACTTCGTCACATCTCTCCCCCCTTCGAGATCGAACTGAGCGGGGTCACTTTAGCCGGTGACCTGGGGAAGTTCGAAGCCACCAACGTTCCCATGGATGCCCCAGCATCTCTCCCATTCCTTGGTAGGAGTTACACCAGGCCCTTCCAGTTTCACGCCCTCCCTTAGATCAGGGGTGGTCGATAGCACTCGCAGGCCGCATGTGGGAAGGTTTATGCAGCCCATGCCCTTTGGCCACCCCAAGAATGTCTCCCCATTGACCATCACCTTCTACTCCCACTGGAGGTCCGGGGGGCCTGGCCCCAGGAAACTCCACACAGACATATAGGTTGGGGTCAGGAGTGGGAGCCTGTCCACATCCCCAACCACCTGGCTGACGGAGTCTATGGCCTTGGGACCCAGCAAGGGAGCTAGACACCGGGGCTTTTCCGCAGGGTCCCCTTGGTTCAAATCGCCAGCCTGCTCAAAGGCAGTGAGGTGGGCATCCACACCCCCCCCCTCCTTAACCAGGGGCAGCAATTTAGTCTCGAGGTTCCCTGCGGAACTGGCCCCCCGGGATCTATCCCCACTCACCCCGGGGAGGTCCCCTAGGCCTCTCCGCCCCCCCACCGCCAGTTCATGCTGCTGCTGCTTCTGCAGCTCTTTCTCGGGCTCTCGCTGTCTCCCACGGTCCTCTTGCTCTCTCAGACTCAGCTCCAATCCCGTCCGTCTTGATCCCCCGATGGGGAACCCGATCGTGAAGACCCTCGTCTGGTCGGGGACAGGAGTCTTGGCGATGCCTGGCTCCCGCTTCAGCTGCTCCCAGATCCTGCTATAGCCCCAGTTGGGGTCAGGAATCTGTTCCTTAGAGCGGTCATCCTCCTCCAGCTGCACGATTAGCTCTGCTTTGGTGAACTTTCCAATGCTCAACCCTCTCTTTTTGCACAGGGTTACAATGTCCTTCTTAAGGAGACGGTGACAGGCCATCACTCCGCTCCTCCCAAGTTGTTGTGGACTCACAGGCCCGTGTGTTCTCAGCTCCCCACGGTTTCCAGGGAGAACCCCTAGTGTGCCAGCCCTTCTCGAGGTCACCACCTCTTTGCCAGGGTCGAGCTGCAGACTCCTCCGCCCCTGAGACTGCTCACTGCAGTCCCCAGGGGGACCCCATTACTGCACAGTACTTCTCGCTGGTCACACACTCCCAGGGGTTAACCGCCCCCCGAAACCGCTCCTTTCTGAGCCTTCAGCAGGCCTGGTCCTCGGCAATCCCCCTTCGTGTTACTGCTCCCCAGTCACTTACTGCAGGAAGCGCCATCCACGGGGTGCAGTACATCCCACCGCTGCCACCAGTTGTCACGGAGTCCCTGGGCGATGCTCTGGAACTGCTCCCCATGAAGCCAGTCAGGACTCTGGGGCAGTCGCCTTTCTGTGAGCAGCCTGTCTTCAGGACACACAGCTCACACAGCTTCCACCTTCCTGGGTCTGACCTCGGAGCATTCAGCCTCCTCTGCCTCTCCGTGCGCTTCCCACAGCGAGTCCGCTCAGGCGGTGCTCCTGGGGAAGCCAGAGGGTCCTGCACCCCAACTTCGCAGTCAGACGTGACTCTCAGCCAGCCAGTAAAACAGAAGGTTTATTAGACGACAGGAACATGGTCTAAAACAGAGCTTGCAGGTGCAGAGAACGGGACCCCTCAGCTGGGTCCATTCTGGGGGGCAGTGAGCCAGACAACCACGTCTGCACTTCACTCCATGTCCCAGCCAGCCCCAAACTGAAAAACCCCTCCAGCCCCTCCTCCTCTGGGCTTTGTTCCTTTCCCGGGCCAGGAGGTCACCTGATTCCTTTGTTCTCCAACCCTTCAGCTCTCACCTTGCAGGGGGGGGAAGGGCCCAGGCCATCAGTTGCCAGGAAACAGGGTGTCGGCCATTCTCTGTGTCCAGATCCCTGCACACACCTGCCCTCTAGGGCACTGCAATGATCATACACCCTTACCCCACCACCTAGATACTTAAGAACTGCCTAGGGGAAACTGAGGCACCCCCACACTATTCAGAGGAAACATTAAGAACAGTCCCACTTCGTCACATTTACATCTTGCATTTGAGGCTGAGACCTGGCACCTACAGATTTCTACTCTCAGCCTCATGGCAGCCCTGGGGTGCTGCTGAGCAGTGAGCACCTGCTGGGCACGGTGCCCTCCTGCAGCTGCAGCCTGGCAGGATGGCATGTCTCACTGTCGCATGAACAGCTCAGACATTAACACTCATGGAGAAACCCCTGCTGCTCTTGGCTCAAATGCCGCTCTCTGCCAGGGCTGTACCCACCTGTGGTGTAAGGGCAGCAGGGGCTTCCCAACCCAGGAGCAGCCCAATCAGGAGGGGAGGGGGAGGGCTAGGGGAACCCAGGGGGATCAACACTGGGGTGTCTAATTGCACCCCTTCCCCTGGCCAGCGGGGAAGTGGAGCACAGAGCAGCTGACCCTAGGCCCACGGCTTGACTTGGCCAGCAGGGGGTGCTCATTCATCCCCACACACGGTGCCTGGTAGAAGCGGGAGGCAATTTGCTAATTGTCTGGCAGCAGAGCCAGGCGAGCCCAGGAAACATTGTGTGCAACAGGGGCTGGGAGAGACGCTCAGGGTCCGCTGCAAGATGCTCACGGGGCAGAAGCCCAGCATTCCCCCCTTGTCGCAGGGCCTGCCTGGGTGGAGCATTGGTTGCTGAATGGGCCAAGATCTCGCAGCCTGGTCTGTCCATGGGGATGAAGTGAGACCGGCCTGTTCCTGAACAGCAGTAGCCATGTCTGCTCTCAGGTGCACACCAGAGCAAGGGGCACTAGGCAAGCTTGTCCTGCTGCTGCCTAGGCTGAACCTGCTCTGGGCTGGGGCAGAGTGAGACAATCGGGGGTGTAAGCATTGCATGATGGGGCCCCATGGCTCCAGCCCTTGTGCCATGGCCTTCCTCTGAACCAAGGTCCTGCTTGCTGCTGGGAGGGACAGTGCCAGGCCTGGGCAGAAGCATGGGGCACCTTTCACCCCCTGGGGAATGGCAGCAGGGCAGGTCACTTCCCCAAGCTATTGTTTCAGGGTCTCTGCAGACTCAGGCAGGCGTCTCTGCATCTGTCACACACGTTTTCAAGCTTTCCTTTGTAGCCATCAAGAACAGAAATTCACAACATGAAAGCTTATGTTCTGCTGTAATCACATGACTCCCAGAGCTGGGCCCCTAGCCATGGGCCTAGGCCTACATCCAGCCCTGGATCTCTAGACAGGGCACAGCGCTTGGGGCTCCCAATACAGCCTCCAGCATCGGCCTTATATTCGCTGTTAATAGTTCAGAGCAGGAGCCAGAGCCAGAACCAGGTCACAGCCAACACTCCTGTCCCGAGTGAGTCAGAGCCAGACCTGGGACCGAGTGGCCACCCTTCTGGAGCCTGGATCAGAACCTGGACCAGGTTGCAGCTGCCCCACCGGTGCTGAACCAGCATCCCGGCCGCCCCTGTTCTACCTTCTACTCTGCCCTCAGCCCTTCGAAAAGCAGTCCCTGGCGTCAGGGGCTTCTGAGCCACGTCATAGGGTGGGTGCCTGGCCATTGCCAGCACTGCCCTCTGCAGCCCCAGGCTGCCCTGTGTCGCACCCACTCCTGCAGTAGCAACCTCTGCCATCTCACCCATCGCCCACCCATGCAGCCTCACACCCAGGGATCCAGCTTCCTGCCCAGCAGCCATCAGGCTAATGAGCAGCTAATGATGGAGGAGGGCTAATTAGCAGTTCAGACAAAGAGCAGAGGGAAGGGAGGGCAGGGCCTCCCCAAGACTCTGACACTTAGTAAAGCCCCAGTGCGCTGGAGGTTGTGAGCTACACAGGCCAGGCTCTTAATGCAGGAGAACCTGGCACTGGGTCCGGCCCTCCCTGGACCCGGGCGTGGAGGGGGCAGATTTTCCCTCAAACCCCACAGAAAGGCTGGAGTGATCCAGTGAGGAAACTGCTGCAGGCCCCACTGCGTTGTGGGATGCAGTGTGTGTAGACGGGGGCTGGGCTGGCCTAGGACAGCTGTATAGCTGATGGCACCCTGCCCACCCTGGGGATGACTCCCTGTCGCTGGAGCCCGAGCTCAGCCAAACAAAGCAAAGCAGCTACCACAGCCAATGCCTGCAAAACACCAGAAACCGCAGCCGGATGCAGACAGGAGCTGGAGGAGCTGCACGGACCCCAGCTCCGGACTGGCCCGAGCCTTGGCAGAGGTGCCAGCTGCTTATTGCAACGCCTCAGCCCAGCCTGGACCCGACGGACCCAGCACAACGAGTCTCGTGGTTCCAGACGAGCAGCCCCGTTACCCTTCCCTGCAGGTTTGCTCCTGGCACTGCCCTCCTGCCCTGTGCCCACACAGCACTGCCAACTCCTCAGCCCAGGGCCCAGCCCCATGGCTCTTCCACCTGTGCTCCGCTCCGCGGGCGTGTGTATGGGGGGCACACGCAGAACCTCGGACCCGGAGTTCCCAGCAGTGGCTGATCTCAGCAAGAGCCCTTGGCCAACTGCTTGTGTCTTTCCCTCCGATTCCCACCTAGCAGCAGAGACAGGAGGGGAAGAGCAGCAGGGAGGCTGCAGACCGAGAAGGAAAGGGGGCGAGCACAACGTGAACGGGGAAGCCAAAGCCGCCCTGTGTCATGCTGGGGGCACCAGAACCCTGAACGGCGAGTGGCTTTCAGTGCCAGGGCGCCCAGATCCCCCTCGCCCTGCTGGATGAGGGAACCCTGCCAACTTGAACCTTCCTGCTCAGGGCAGCTAGCAGTTCCCAGGAGCCACTGGGGCCGCAGAGATGCTGAGCTGGCCACAGGGCAGGGCGAGGAGTGAGGCCGCTCTCCCCAGGCCTTCCTGGGCTCCGAGACCTGGCTAGGGCGAGGACTGTGCATGCCCAGAGCCCTGTTGCTCTGGCTGTGTCAGAAGCTACTAAAGTTAGATATTTTTAAATCAGCAGATCCAGATAAATCGCACCCCAGAGTTGTAAAAGAGCTGGCCGAGGAGCACGCTGGACCATCAGTGTTGATTTCAGTAAGTCTTGCAGCCCTGGGGAAGTTCCAGAAGATGGGAAGAAAGCTAATGTTGGGCCAAGTTTTAAAAGGGTAAACAGGGTGACCTAGGTAACTACAGGTCTGTCAGCCTGACATCGAGCCCGGGCAAGATATTGGAGTGGCTGATACAGGAGTCAATTAATAAAGAATTAAAGGAGGATAAATTAATTAATGCCACTCAACAATAGTTTATGGAAAACAGATTCCTCTCAAATGAGCTCGGTTTTTTTGATGGGATTACTAGTTTGGTTAATAAAGGTAAGAGTGTTGACTTAGTACCGCATGGCATTTTGATTAAAACAAATCTAAAATACTATAAAATTAACCTGGCACATAGTAAATGGATTAAAACCTGGCTACCTGAGAGTCTCAAAGTGTAACTGTAAATGGGGACTCATCCTTGAGTAGGGGCATTTCCAGTGCGGCCCTGAAGGGATCTGTTCTTGGCCCTGTAACATTTAACATCTTTATCCGTGTTCTGGAAGAAAACATAAATTCATCCCTGTCACGGACTCCCTGGGCAATGCTCTGGAACTGCTCCCCATGAAGCCAGTCGGGACTCTGGGGAAGTCTCCTTTCTGTGAGCAGCCTGTCTTCAGGACACACAGCTCACACAGCTTCCACCTTCCTGGGTCTGACCTCGGAGCATTCAGCATCCTCTGCCCCTCCGTGCGCTTCCCACAGCGAGTCCGCTCAGGCGGTGCTCCTGGGGAAGCCAGAGGGTCCTGCACCCCAACTTCGCAGTCAGATGTGACTCTCAGCCAGCCAGTAAAACAGAGGTTTATTAGACGACAGGAACATGGTCTAAAACAGAGCTTGTAGGTGCAGAGAACGGGACCCCTCAGCTGGGTCCATTTTGGGGACAGTGAGCCAGACAACCACGTCTGCCCTTCACTCCATGTCTCCAGCCAGCCCCAAACTGAAACTCCCTCCAGCCCCTCCTCCTCTGGGCTCCCCGAGCCAGGAGGTCACCTGATTCCTTTGTTCTCCAACCCTTTAGCTCTCACCTTGCAGGGGGGAAGGGCCCAGGCCATCAGTGGCCAGGAAACAGGGTGTCGGCCATTCTCTGTGTTCAGACCCCTGCCCTCTAGGGCTCTGCAATGATCATACACCCTTACCCCACCACCTAGATACTTAAGAACTGCCTAGGGGAAACTGAGGCACCCCCACACTATTCAGAGGAAACATTAAGAACAGTCCCACTTCATCACAATCCCTGCTAAAGTCTGCAGGTGACAGAAACATGGGAGGAGTGGGAAATAGTGAGCGGACAGGTCACTGATTCAGAGCCGTCTGGATTGCTTGGTAAACTGGGAGCAAGCAAACACTATGCGGCTAAATGTAAACGTACAGATCTAGGATCAGCCACACTTACTGGATGGGGGATTCTATCCTGGGAAGCAGGAACCCTGAAAGAGATTTGAGGGTCATGGTGGAGAATCAGCTGAACAGGAGCTCCCAGTGCGACGCTTTGGCCAAAAGAACTCTTGCAATCCTGGGGTGCATAAAGAGGTGACTCTGGAGTAGAAGTAGAGCGGTGATGTGACCTATTTGGCACCGGTGTGACGGCTGCTGGAATCCTGGGTCCAGTTCTGGTGCTCACAATTCAAGAAGGACGTTGATAAATCGGAGAGGGGTCGGAGAAGACCCAGGAGAATGATGAAAGGATTAGAAAACTTGCCTTCGAGAGATGGGCTCAAAGAGCTCAATCTATTTAGCTTAACAAAGGGACGGTGAAGGGGTGAACCGATCACAGTCTATTGGTATCTACACGGGGAACAAATATTGAATAATGGGCTCTTCCGTCTAGCAGAGGAAGGTCTAACACAAGCCAACCACTGGAAGTTGAAACTAGAGAAATTCAGACTAGAAATAAGGCATATTTTTTTAATGTTGAGAGTAATTAACCACTGGAACAGTTTCCCAAGGGTCAGGGTGGATTCTCCATCCCTGGCACTGTTTAAATCAAGATGGATGTTTTTCTAAGTGTTCTGCTCTGGGGATTATTTGGAGACAGGT